GGCTAACTTAGCCTGCGGCACGAAGTCCTCGTTGGGTTGGTTTTCATTTACATCGTGTGTGAAACCCAGCCCATTGGGACAAAACGTACATTTATAACAATAATAAAAAAATAAATTTGATAAAACCATAGTTAAGCTTTATTGGACCCCTACCCGGATACCAGTTCCATTTGGTCTTGGCCATCACTCTGACACACTGGTCCTCAGTAGCTTTTTTCAGTGCCGTTGTAACTTGGAACGGTCACTCAACAAACTGTTGCAAGTCGGGGACTACCTGTAGGTGTCCAGTTACGTTTTGTCCAGTGGGTTCAAACAGGAAGCTGTTTTTTTTTTCAAATGGTCAGTTCAAAAGCTGCTTCCTGCTGGCTCTGCCCCGTTGCTTTCCGGTCTCCGGCTCGGTTGGCATCATCTCCTGCCAGCTCCTCCTTTGAGAAGTTCGCCATCTCCTGATGTAACTCGCTGAGATCTTGGATCTCCAGGGCAAGGACGTAGAGATGACGGAAAAGAGCTAGGTCACTCCTTCGCAGACGCAGCTGGGGTCAAACAAAACAGCTTTTATTATTCACCAAGGACCGGGATGTGGGTTTTTTTTGTGGGGGGGGAGTCTTCTCTGGAAAGAATAACTTTTATTGTTGTTTTTGTTGAGAAATTCGCAGAGCAACCCTTGAGTAGCAAGGGTGTGCAAAAGAAAAGCGATTGAAAGTAGTTAGGAAATAACACAGCCAACACACAGATACACTGAGTTGTGTTTACTTTCAGGAAATAGTAAGGCACAGTCCAATAAACAGTCCAGGTCATACACGGATAAAGTAGTAGATAGTAAAACAATAGTCCAGCCCCTCAAATATTGGAAGACTGCTCTCCTGTCTCCCCTGGTCGTTCTCTTCACTAGACTAGCCATGCCCAGTTCCTGCAATCGTTCTTCGTATGTTTCAGCCTCCAGTCCCCTAATCCTCTTGGTTGCTCTTCTCTGCACTCTTTCTAGAGTCTCCACATCTATTTTGTAGTGTGGTGACCAAAACTGGATACAGTATTCTAGGTGTAGTCTTACTAAGGCTTTATAGAGTGGTATTAGTATCTCCCTTGATCTTGATTGAATCCCTCTGTTCATGCAATTTAGGATTGCATTGGCTTTTTTGGCTGCCGCTGCACACTGCTGGCTCATATTTAACTGGTTGTCCACTAAGACTCCAAGATCCCTCTCACAGTTACTGCTATTAAGTCAGGTATCTACCTGTATGATTGCTATGAGAAGACACTGACTTGATCAATCAAAAGACTTCTAGAAAACAACATCTTCTCAGGCTGTTTTTCCCCCCAAATGGAAAGTGGAGAAGCTCACCATTTCTCTCTGCAGCCAGGAGATTTTTCCATGGAGGCTGATGTGGTCCCCCTCCGGGGAATCGGTCTCTTCCTGCTCTGCCATCTCAGGGAGAGGTTCTTGAGACAGAGGAGCCCCCAAAAACACTTTAGGTAAGGGGGGAAGCCCTTTGAAGGGAGGTGCCTCTTCTTCCCTGGTCCAGGTGTCCATCGAGATGGGTTGGTTTGGTTCCTCTTTCAAAGCAACCTGAGAAGAGAAGTTGTTCATTCTTTGGAAGAACCTTCTCTGTAGGGAGACAACCATCCTGGTGGCACACGATGGCAAAAAGGTTAGCCATCACTATTTTAGGTCATCTAGTCCAACCCCCCACCCAAGCAGGAAACCCTACACCACTTCTGACAAATGGCAGTCCAATCTTCTTGAAAGCTTCCAATGGTAAAATACGACACGGAAGAAGCTTTTTAGGGGAAAAAACCAAACCTTACATGAATGCCAGCACCATCTAAATTTGGTTGGCTTGGAATAAAACTAAGCAAACTTAAAAACCACCCGGAAATGCCAAGGCCGAAGAGGGAGGTTAAGAAAACATCCTGGAATAACACTATACTGAATTTCCTTCCCTAATGGACTTTATTCCCCTGCAAAAAAGAAAAACAAATAAATCCACCCAGGGAGACAGAAATAGCTGCGGAAAAACAGAGCAGTAAATCCTTCTTTTTTAAAAATGCGTTATTCTTATTATTCTTTAAAAATTCCCATCCTTTCTCTTAACCCTACACATACACAAGCCAAGAAATGCAAATTAGCAAATTTTTGAAGGAAAGCATCAGTTGCTAACCTCACAGTGACTTGTGTATTATTATTTTTTTTGCCTTTTTAGAACTTGCATGATTGTTATACAGCCCTTCCTCAGGTTGTTGCTATAATTATGACTTCATTATAATCAGAGCTGGTTTCTTATTTCAGTTAACCAAAGGAACAAAAGGAAGGTGAATGCTGCAAAAATGCACGCACACACAACTCTGGAGTGACAGGACACTGCCTCTCCACCCCAGAAGGACTTAAGACTTAGTGGCCTAGAGGTGGAGCTCTTGCCCCACAATCAGGAGGTTGTGAGTTCGATCCTAAGTAGAGGCAGATGTAGCGTCTCCTGCTTGGGCAGGGGGTTGGACTCGATGACCTGCAGGGTCCCTTCCAACTCTGTTAATCTGTTAAAATGCCTATTACAGTACTGATCGAAGCTACAGTCCTACAACATTTCAACCTGCTTACAATTCCACTCCTTTAGATATTTAATTACTGGATTGGTTAGACCACCGAAAAACAGAGCACTGATAATGTTACCTAGTTGGGTCATGGAATGTCTGCAAGAAAACTACCAAGCTCGGAGAGAACCAAGGACTCCTCATTTCAACCCAAATTAACAATTGCTTAACGCATTGTAAGGCGCCCTAAGTCTCCAGAGAAGGGCGGTATATAAATCGAACCAATAAATAAATAAATAAATAAATATTCTCCTTTATTGGTACCACCTAAACATTTTTTGGGGGAAAAATCAGTTGCTAAAAATGGGTAAGGCGAGCCATAGGGTGAACGCCCTGTAAAAATAATCAATGGCCAAAGGATCATAATTCCACATTAAGTTCCTAATGTGGAATTGTCTGAAATTGCCAAGCCAAAGAGACCTGTGTAGATTGTCACATGATCCCTCCCCCTCCCCAAAATTGGAGTTTCAATCTTACTGTTGTGGCCACCATTTTGACCCTGCTTTTGAGGGTTTTTTTAAGAGGAAAATTCCTAAAATAATCTGTGGAGATTCTTAGTAATCCAGGTCCTAGCTTGTCTCAAAGGTGCTTTCCCACCTCAATTATAACTGATGGATGAAATTTTTTGCGTTCGGTTGCATTTAGTCTTCCTCGCCTTCCAGTTACCTTTTGAAAGACAGGGGAAAAAAGCACCCCTTTGAGATCCTAAAATAACCCCTAATAATTCCTAAATTCCTCATTTCCTCTTCAGCAAAAGTTTATGGAGCAAGATTTTCTGAAGCTTCCCAGCTCTGACCCATCACAACTTACCTTCCCAATTCCATTCTTTGCTTTTTCATTCCATTTTAGGACATCCCATCAAATTCTTCAGGATGGGATGTTCAGCTATTTTCACCCTCCGAAAAACAAACAAACCCAGGAATCGTTTTCCCAGAGGAAGTAACCAGGTGGTCAAAACTGGCAGCTCGTTTTTAATTTAATTTTTGTTTTAGAGGCTGGATTCGGGGGTCCCCGTTCACGCTGGCGTTAGCTCTGGAAGAAAGAACAGCCTGCTTAAAGGTGTCCAGTTCTGAAAGTAAACTGGGAGGGGAAGAGATGGGGGAATTATACTTGAGCAGGTAACTTACTCATAGCAACCAACCTAAACTCACCTTTCGTTGAACCTGGAGAGTTGTTTACCTGCTGGGCTTGTCCTGAAAATGCCTCTGTGTGCTTTGAAAATCCACACCTAATTCCGTGGATGCCAGCAGGGCAGTTAATTCAAAGTTCACAGGTGCCCAGGTGTGAGAGAGAGAGAGAGAACGGAGTTGCCCCAGGTTGCAGGACAGAAGGATGGCAGTGCCAAGCGGTACAACTCTTGCATTGTACGAGAAGGGAAGGACATCCTACGCGAAAGGCGATAAATTTCAGAAGTAAAAGGAAGAAGTTATGAATAATCACACCACAAAAGAGGAATGGTTGGTTGAAAGGAATGCAGGCGGCCGCCGAATGCCAAGGGCTCAAGAAGGGATTGTTTGATATGCATGGAGAGCAAGTCCTTTCAGAGCTAGAAAGGGGCAATGGCAGATTCGTTGATTTATTGGGTGCATGGACAAGGCACTCCTCAACTTACAACAGTTCGCTTAAGGACGGTTCAAAGCAGTGGTGAAATTCAATTTTTTTTACTGCCGGTTCTGTGGGCGTGGCTTGGTGGGGCGTGGCAGAGGAAGATACTGCAAAATCTCCATTCCCACCCCACCCCTGGGGAAAGGATACTGCAAAATCCCCATTCCCTCCCCACTCCTGGGGGAAGGATATTGCAAAATCCCCATTCCCTCCCCACTTCAAGGGGGGGGAAAGGATATTGCAAAATCCCCATTCCCACCCCACTCCAGGGGGAAGGATACTGCAAAATCCCCATTCCCTCCCCACTCCTGGGGGAAGGATACTACAAAATCCCCATTCCCACCCCACTCCTGGGGGGAAGGATACTGCAAAATCTCCATTCCCACCCCACTCCTGGGGGAAGGATACTGCAAAATCCCCAAGGTTTGCAAAGCTGGATGAGGAATTCTGGGAGTTGAAGTCCACAAGTCTTTAAAGTTGCCAAGGTTGGAGACCCCTGATTTAGGGTAACTAGAAGGAACTGTATATTTCTTTTTATTGCTGCTCTTAGATGATAAGGCAATGTAATTAATTTATCATTGCATTTTTTTTTTTTATTATCATCATCAAGGACTATCTTTCGCTTTTCAATGCTATTGGAATGCACATATTCCAACAATTCAAATGTTAGGCCGCAAGAGGCGCTAATGCCACGTAAGGGCAAGGAAAGGGCGGGAGGAGTTTCACCTCTCACTACTGAGCATGCTCGAAGATATACATACACATGCGCAGTCTCAGCCGGTCACGGCAAGGTCCTTTCGGTCGTCTTGAGCCCGGCGGGAGTCACGTGACTCGCTTCAAGATGGCGGCCCCCATGCTGGTGAGTAGTTTATAGTGGGATTTTTTTATTTTTTATTTTTGCTTTTCGTGGCAAACCGATTTCAGCACAAATAGACCGGATTTGAACTCGGTACCTCGGTTTTCGATGAAGGGCAATGAAGCAAAAGGACTCCCAGGGGTGTCAACCTCTCCTTTAGCTCCTTGTCCACAGATATTTTGCATTATTAGATATTTATTTTGCCTTTATTTATGTGTCTCTCTCTGTGTGTGTGTTGCTTCAAAATTCAGGCATCCCGAGTGTGCGTGGAGCCTAAGGCGGAACTAGAACTCACCATCTCCTGGTCATTGGCCCAAAGTCACCCAGTTGGCTTTCATGCCCAAAATGGGACTAGAACTCATAATCTTCAGGTGATTGACCCAAAATCACCCAGCTGGCTTTCATACCTCAGGCAGGACTAGAACTCACCATCTCCTGGTCATTGGCCCAAAGTCACCCAGCTGGCTTTCATGCCCAAGGTGGGACTAGAACTCACCATCTCCAGGTGATTGGCCCAAAGCTACCCAGCTGGCTTTCATATCTCAGGCAGGACTAGAACTCACCATCTCCTGGTCATTGGCCCAAAGTCACCCAGTTGGCTTTCATGCCCAAAATGGGACTAGAACTCATAATCTTCAGGTGATTGACCCAAAATCACCCAGCTGGCTTTCATACCTCAGGCAGGACTAGAACTCACCATCTCCTGGTCATTGGCCCAAAGTCACCCAGTTGGCTTTTGTGCCTAAAACGGGACTAGAACTCACTGTCTCCTAGTGAGGGGCCCAAAGTCACCCAGCTGTTTTTTTGTGTGCTTGTGGTGGGACTAAAAATTAGTGATTTGTGGAGCTCCAAGAATACTTGCTGTGTACCAAAAGTGCTTTTTCCAAAGGCAACTGGACTTCCTTGTTTTTTTTCCTTGAAGACATTTCGCTTCTCATCCAAGAAGCTTCTTCGGCTCTGAAGCTTCTTGGATGAGAAGCGAAACGTCTTCAAGGAAAAAAAACAAGAAAGTCCAGTTGCCTTTGGAAAAAGCACTTTTGGGACAATCCTGACCTGGATGACTGAGAATCTCCATCGATATTTACTTGCTGTGTAGCTAAAATTGCTGACCAGCTGGTGGTGCTGTTAATTGGAGGAAAATTCAGTGTCAAAGCCGAGGGCAGCCTGTGCCTGAAATCATGCAGGGTTGCGTCCGATTTGTAGTTGCTGTATCCTTTATCCTCTTATGTGTGTTCCACAACCACAAAACCCACCTATTGCAGGATACAGGTAGTCCTTGACTTTCCACCACAATTGTGGCTGGAACTTCCATCCCAAATAATGCAGTTGTTAAGTGAGTCATCGTTATCTTCATTTAACAATCCCATAATCCCTTGTGGTGTGGCGCCTGGGCAACTGAATGGAGCTAGCAGAGTGTCTACTGGCCGGATGCCCTTCTTGTCACCAATACGGAGTTTTGTTCAGCAGAGATATTCTTATTGTGCCCAGAGAGAGAAATATCTGCTTCTACCTAGGATCGAACTCACAGCCTCCTGATTGTGAGGCGAGAGCTCCACCCCTAGGCCACTGCACCATTCAAGTGAGTCTCATACATGACTGTGCCCAATTTTACAACTATTTCTGAGGGATCCTTGGTGCTTTCTGAGCTTGCTTGTTTTCTCACAGACGTTTCATAACCCAACTAGGTAACATCATCAATGCTAGTAGGGGAGTGAAGTTTGCTCTCATTTTGTATCTAGTATCCCTGTCCATATTGGTGGGAGTGTTCTTGGTGGTTCCTTGATGATAAAATGAAAGGCAATCCCACTCCTTTCTAGCACTGATGATGTTACCTAGTTGAGTAATGAGACGTCTGCAAGCTCAGAGAACACCAAGGACCCCTCATTTCAACCCTGAGCTGCAAGTATTCTCCTTTATCGGTGCAACTATTTTTGCTGTGGTTGTTAAGCAAATCATACCGTCGTTAAATGAATCTGGCTTCCCCCATTGACCTTGCTTGGCAACTGGCATGTACTTACAACAGTTCCTCTGCCCTGGGATCACGTGATCCTCATTTGCAACCTTCCCAGCTGGCTTCCAACAATCAAAGTCCACGAGGGGGAAAGCCAGATTAACGCTTAACGACTACCCGGTTCACTCAACGGCAGCGATAACGCTTAACCACAGAGGCAAGAAGGGTTGTCAAATCAGACACACAACTCACCGAAGAGCTGCCTTGCTTAGCAGTGGAAACTGTGATCCCAACTGTCGTTGTAAATAGAGGACTACCCGTAACGAGGTTAGAGACCTGCAGGAGGTGTGTGACTTAAGAAAACGGAACTAGCTTTTCCTGCCACTTCTTAGCTCAAGAAACCAGAGTTTCCTTTTTCGTAGAAAATTTTGCTTCTGCTTCGTTTTCTTTCCAGCTCCGGCAAAGCAAACAGTTGACATCCTTATACATCAGCTGTCGGTTTGGCAGCACTTCTGAAGGTCTTTCTTCAAATCCCCGGAAAGGTGGGATATTTCAATATCTGTCCAGCCGCTTCTACGACATTGAAACCTTTGTCGAAGTCAGCCGGAAGTTTAAAAGATGGAAAATGGAAAAAGGAAACAAGTAAGTGTACCTGGGGGGACTCTAAGAATCTCCCTATAATTCTTGCTGTAGTTGTGGATTCTTCCGTTGGACAGAGATGGATTAGATCCCAGCATGCTAGCTAGGGAACTCTGGGAATTGAAGTCCTTGCATCTTTAAGCATGCTGATTGGGGAATTCTGGGAATTGAAGTTCAGGCATTTTTAAGCATGCTGATTGGGGAATTCTGGGAATTGAAGTTCAGGCATCTTTAAGTGTGCTGACTGGGGAATTCTGGGAATTGAAGTCCTTGCATCTTCAAGCGTATTGGCTAGGGAATTCTGGGAATTGAACTCCACCCATGCCATATGGAAGTCTTCCATAACCGACGAGAGTTTCTCAAGGTGGTTTTTGATATACCTTTTCCATGCACAGGTATGACGCTAAACTACACGAGCATTATGGCAGTGATATCGGAGCCGCCATCTTTGTCCTGAAGCTGAAAGGAGCCATTCGGTATTTGCAACGCCTATTTTTATCCACCAATGCATTGCGGGGAGGGTTGTATCCTTTCCTCCCTTCCAGACATCTTGTGGGTTTTGTATCCCAGCAGCCCCAAATGTCTGGAGAGTTGCAATTTGTCATCCTCGAGTTACGACACTTCATTTAGTGACAGTTCAAAGTTAAACAACGGCACTGCAAAAAGAGACCTACAAACGATTTTCTTCCGAACGTTGCGCCACCCCCGCACTCACATGATCAAATTTTGGGACAAGGAAGGCTGTAAAATGAGATAAAACTCACTTAGCAAATATTTCCCTTAAGAACAGACATTTGGGGCTCAATTGGGGCCGGGAGTCGAGGAGACCCTGTGTTGAGATCAGGAGATTTTTATTTTTATTATTATTCCCCCCCACACCATGCAATAGAGATTTATTTTGCTCTAGTTTCCAGGACCAAATGGATTGGCTTCGCACGAACCCTAAAGAGGAAGAAAGCAGGGATTTTCAGGAGTATTGTGGGAAGTCCTTGGAAGCCATCGATCTCAGCGGCTCCTTCGTCAGTTACATCGGCCTGAAAAACCTCAGTGAGAAATTTTGTGTTCCGTTTGGGGCCTAGGAAAGTTTGGGTGGCAGTAACCCCTTGCCCCTCCTCCTCTTCCCCGTCCTCCCCTCCTCTTCCCCCTCTTCCTCTTCCCTCTCCCCCTTGTCCCCCTCCCCCCTTCCTCCCCTTCCTCCTTCCCCCTGCCCCTCCTCTTCCCCCTCTTCCTCCTCCCCATCTCCTCATCTCTTCCTCCTTCCCATATCTCCCCCTTCTCCTCCTCTCCCCGCTCCTCCCTCTCCCCTTTGTCCCCCTCCCCCATTCCTCCCCTTCCCCCTGCCACTCCTCCCCTCTTCCTCTCTCTCCCCTCCTCTTCTTCCTTCCCATATTCCCTCCTCCTCTTCCACTCCCTCTTCCTCCCTCTCCCCCTCTCCCATTCCTCTCCTGCCCCTCCTCCCCCTCCCCCTCCCCTTTGTCCCCCTCCCCATTCCTCTCCTTCCTCCTTACCCACCCACCCCTCTTCCTCCTTCCATTGTTTCCCCTCCTTCTCTTCCCCCTCCCCGTTCCTTCCTTCCTCCTCCCCTCCTCCCCCTCCCCTTCCTCCTCTCTCTCTTCCTTCTCCCCCCTCCTCCTCTGATTCATTGATTTTATACCCTGCTTACGTAGCAGATTCCCATTCTTTATTACGCCCTGCAACGTCTTTGTGAGGTGCGATGACAGTAAGAATGACAGCTCAGACCTCACTTGCTAAACTTTCACGGCAGGGGTGGGTGGGGGTGCCACTCCCAGCCTGGCACCACAGCCTTTATGACACCCTAGCTGGGTGGGGTAACACCATAAACTTTAATTGCATCTCATTCTTCTGCCCTCTGTGAGTTATAGGGCCATCTGCAACCTTTGCCCTGTATCTTCTTTTTTAACGCAAATTATCCCAGACTTTGAGGTGTGAAATCCAAATTTCTTTACTATCGGTTCTGTGGGCGTGGCTTGGTGGGTGTTGTGTGGCTTGGTGGCCATGGCCGGGGAAGGATACTGCAAAATCTCCATTCCTTCCCCACTCCAGGGGAAGAATACTGCAAAATCCCCATTCCCACCCCACTCCTGGGGGAAGGATGCTGCAAAATATCCATTCCCTCCCAACTCCTGGGGGAAGGATACTGCAAAATCCCCATTCCCCTCCTCATTCCTGGGGGAAGGATACTGCAAAATATCCATTCCCTCCCGATTTCTGGGGGAAGGATACTGCAAAATATACATTCCCACCCACTCCTGGGGGAAGGATACTGCAAAATCCCATTCCCTCCCCACTCCTGCGGGAAGGATACTGCAAAATATCCATTCCCTCTCAACTCCTGGGGAAAGGATACTGCAAAATCCCCATTCCCACCCCCACTCCTGGGGGAAGGATACTGCAAAATCCCCATTCCCTCCCCACTCTGGAACCAGCCAGATGTGGCATTTGCCGGTTCTCCAAACTACTCAAAATTTCCGCTACCGGTTCTCCAGAACCTGTTGGATTTCATGTTGGATTCCGTGCCCGTTTTTCAATCTCCTTCAATCTCCTGGATCTTCCCCGCAGCGAACCTGAGAGGTCTGAAGCATCTGGACCTGAGCAGATGCCCCCTCATCGACGACTGGTGCCTGACCCAGCTGCATCCCTTTGCAGGCACCCTGCAAACCTTGTCTTTGGCCGGCTGTCCCCGGATCACGGAGAAAGGGCTGCCTTGTCTTCACCACTTTGAGTAAGTGTGGCCGAGTAGCAGCTGGTCTCCATCCCAGGGGGAGCTTCTTCCAGGGGTGGGTTCTAAATTTTTTTACTACCGGTTCTGTGGGCGTGGCTTATTTTGTGGGTGTGGCTTGGAGGTCATGTGACTAGGTGGGCGTGGCTAGCTGGTCAGAGTCATTTCTGGAATGTCCTCGCACTTACGACCAGTCCTCGCACTTACGACCCGACTCATTTGTTTGCTTTTAACACTGATCAGCTGTAGGGCGGCCCTTTGAAGCCCCGCGGCAAGAGTTTAAACAGTTTTTTTTCCCTCTAGTCATCAGCTGGGACTCAGGAGGCAGCAATAGATTGGGGGTGGGGCCAAATAAAAGGTAAGAAGAACGTGGGGGAGTGGGGAGGTTGGGAGAACCGGTTCGGTGACGTCATATCGTCACCGCTACCGGCTCGGCCGAACCGGACCGAACCGGGAGGAACCCACCACTGCCTTCTTCACTCCGGGGCTGGGAAAAGAGAGAGAGAGAAGCCGAGCTGGGATTTTTCCAAGCACCTGAGATGGTGGCGTGAGTCACTGCGTCCTTGAGTTGGAAGGGAGCGTTAAAGGCCACGTAGTCCAACCCAATATTCCGCACCCACTGCAACAGATTCAGCTTGAATTTTGAAGTCTTCCAGCATAAACTCAAGTCTGTGAGCCAGAGGGGTACACTGGCACCTCTGGGAGATTTAGATTTTTTCTTGTTTGCATCCTGTCTTTATTATTTTTATAAATAACTCGAGACAGCAGACATATCTGATTGATTTTAAAGTGGGTTTTAAATTGGGTTGTTTTAATTTACGGCCAAAATATTTAATTATTTTAAACTGTTTTTAAATTTTGTATGTTCTGTTTTTTACTTTGGCTGTTCACTGCCCTGAGTCCTATTTGGAGAAGGGCGGTATATAAATGGAAACAAATAAATAAAATAAAAAAATATCCAACACAGCTTCCTCCTGTTTTCCTCACAACAACCCTGAGAGGTGGGCTGGGCTGAGAGGGAGGGACTGGCATAAGGTCACCAGCTGGCTTTTCCGTCAAAGGCGAGACTAGAACTCCCGGCTTCCTAGTGATTGGCCCAAAGACACCCAGCTGATTTTCATGCCTAAGGCGGGACTACAACTCACAGCCTCCTTGTGATTGGCCCAAAGTCACCCAGCTGATTTTCATGCCTAAGGCTGGACTAGAACTCCCAGTCTCCTGATGATAGGCTCAGAGTCACCCAGCCGGTTTTCATGTCTAAGACAGGACTAGAACTCAACGTCTCCTGGCTTCTAGCCTGGTGCCTTTACCACTAGTTCAGAATGGGCTCTGATATTTCACTTTTGAAAATTTTGGAAGAAACGCCAAGTTGGGGGCGAGGCTAAATATTACCAATTCGGTATAAAAGCCGGCTGGGGTACTTTGGGCCGATCACCAGGGGATGGTGAGTTCTAGTCCTGCTGTAGGCATGAAAGACATTTTGGTGACTTCGGGCCAATCACCAGGCGACAGGGAGTTCTAGTCCCACCTTAAGTATGAAAGCCAGGTAGATGACTTTGAGCCAATCACCAGGAGTTGGTGAGTTCTAGTCCCATTTTAGGCATGGAAAACTGGCTGGGTGACTTTGAGCCTATCACCAGGCAGGCTAGAAATAAAAATCACCGTATTTTCCAGAGTATAAGACGCACTTTCCCCCCCCCTAAAAGAGGGTGAAAATTTGGGTGCATCTTATACACTGAACGTAGCCCCGCCCACCCGCCGGCCTCCACCTTTTGGCCTCTGCCTCCCAACAATTTGCCTCCTAACAGCAAACAGCCCATTTCAGCTTCAGCACAGCCTGATTAGCACAAGCAGCTGATGGTCGGTTGGATCCGCCTCCCGACCATCAGCTGTTTCAGGCTGCAGGGATTGCCATAGCCTATTGCTGCCTCCACGCGCCCCTCTGTTTGTTGTTTGCTGCAAATTGCTGGGAGGCAGAGGCAGATTTTTTATTTATTGTGCTAAATAGGCTGTGCTGAAAATGAAACTGAAACAGGCTGTTTGCTGTTTGCTGCAAGGAGGCAAATTGCTGGGAGGCAGAAGCAGATTTTTTTTTCTTGTTTTCCTCCCCCAAAAAGGTAGGTGCGTCTTATAGCCCGGAGCATCTTATACTCCGAAAAATACGGTAAATAAGGAAACGTCAGGCTTCTCTTTTCAGAGAAGAGGGGTCAACGGAAGCAATGGGAAAAAACCCCTTTATTCATTCTCTTGCAGAAGTTTGAAAAGCTTGGATGTCACCAACCTCCCTTCTGTTTCTCATCCTCTGCTAATTCGGATTCTCCTGGAAGAAATGTTGCCCCGGTGTTATATTTTGGCGATGGACGACCAGGAGAACGCGGACTCTCCCACCGAACGAGAAAAAGAGTGGATTTTCCCGACACCCAGCAAGCTCTCCACTTGAAACGGAACGGACAAAACCGAAATAATTCTTTAAAGCAGTGTTTCTCAACCTTGGCCGCTGGACGTTGTGTGGACTTCAACTCCCAGAATTCCCCAGCCTGGGGAATTCTGGGAGTTGAAGTCCACACATCGTCCAGCGGCCAAGGTTGAGAAACACACTGCTTTAAACCTTTGTGTCCCTGCTCTGCACCCCTTGGATAGACATACACGGACACCGTTGTTTTAAAGCCGACGGTTGTTGACCGAGCTCGTTGTGGATTGTATGAGTCAAAGTCGGCACAACTGATGTGGCACCAGGGGAAGGAACTTCTAAAAGATGCCAATTAGTTCATTTTTTTTTTTAATGGCAGCTGGATAATAAATGGGGTTTCCCTCTTTAGGTGGCAAGTCAACGCTGAAGAGGTTCGTTTCCCACTTTTTGAACAGATCACTTTTCCCCAATATATATATTTTGCACCTTTGATTTAATGAACTGAAAAGTTGAACGATTCCCAAATGTATCTTATTACCAAATGGGCTGAATTGAACGAGTTTCGGACATCTAACAGCTAGAGAGAAGGAGACGAGAAAAATGCCCTCGAAGACGGTGGATCGTCACTTTTGGATTTGAACTTTAAAAAAAGGAAATTCGCTGGAAGAGAATTAAAGAAAGAAAAAAAAAGAATCCCCCAGAATTTACTTCTATCTCTCAGGGAAGGATTCAGATTGGCAGGTAGACTCCCTCTGAATAAGGAGGTTCGTCTCGGAGGAGGAGCTGGCAGCTGGTGTTAAGAGGTAGGGCAAGTGCTGCTTTTTCAGGATGCTGCTGGGAGCAGCTGACTCACCTTGAACCCTCTTACCTGGGGAAGGATAAATGCTTTCATTTCTTCCTCGCTCTTTTACATATGCAAATAGCTGCTTGTTTATCCTGGCTCCTTTCTGCCTTCCCCCCCCCCTACACATAATCCATGCTTTACTCATCTCATTTTACAAAGACCTGCCCTTTTCGTCATTTTCATCAGGTGGAAGCTTCCATCAGGGGGCCTGGTTGATAGCTCTGGGGTGGAAAGCCGCAGCTGCAAACCACCTGAGCTGCCATCCGCTGCAGGCAGTTGATGAAAACAATCCATTTTTATTTTGCAAGCGGGAACATGCCTCGGTGGCTGCCCGGCAAGCAGCCGGATTTGCACAAATCTGCCCTTTGCAACAGCGGAGTAAGGGAGAAGGCGTGAGGCTGTGTAGCCTGAGCGTGCCATTCCGTGTGTTCTTTACACACACACACACGTGTGCAACGCTTCACACACGGCTTCGGTCTCCTCTCCCAGAGGCGTGTGGGATACGTGAAGGTAGGAGAATCCGTAACGACGGGTGCTGGGTGGATTCAGCCTGCAGAAATCATCCTCATTTCAGGCAACGCATCACCTGTACGCAGGTGAGCTCTTCAATTTAAGCCACCTTGCAAGGCGGTGATTAAGACTTAGTGGGGCTTCTTGGAGCTCCTTGGCTCCTATTGCTTTTAACTGCAGCTAGTCCTCGACTTAACGACTGTTCGTTTAGCGACCAAAGTTACAACGGCACTGAAAAAAGCAAAGTTACGACCGGTTTTCACACTTTTAAGACCGTTGCAGCTTCCCCATGATCAGAATTATGACGCTTATATTTATGTCCCGGGGCTCGCGCGATTTTCTTTTTGCGAACTTTTCTGATGAGCAATGTCGACGGGGAAGCTGGATTCACTTAACAACCGGGTTGCTAACTGAATCAACCTCAGTGATTCGCTTAACGACGGTGGCAAGAGAGGTCTTAAAACGGGGCAAGGCTCACTGAACAAGCGTCTCGCTTGACGACAAATGTTGGGCTCCCTTGTGGTCGTAAGTTGAGGACTGCTACTGTATTAGTTCTGTAGTTCTCTGGCCCTGCCCTAAATGATGCCAGTCCCTCTTCTCTGGGTCTCTGCATTCCCACTGTAGATTAATCGTGTGTGTGTGTGTTTGTGTGTGTGTGTTATAGATTTATCCCTTTTGAGCTGCGAGCTCTCTTCTCCCACATTCTAGAGAAAGAGCTAAATGTTGTCACCCCTTATTTTTAACCGCCTGCATCTTCTCCCTCCTGCCCAGGTCACAGTCCTTTTTAACGCCTCCTTTGGTTCTGAAATAGAGGTGTTAAAATTGTAGGTGATTAAATTGTGTAATGAGCATGTGGCTCCTCTGACACATGCCCTGCCTTAGATTGCCAGATGCCTTGTGAGACCTCGGATCCTTCCTTCCTTCCTTCCTTCCTTCCTTCCTTCCTTCCTTCCTTCCTTCCTTCCTTCCTTCCTTCCTTCCTTCCTCTTCCTTTCCTTCTCTTCCTCCTTTTCCCTTCTCTTTCCCTCTCCCTCCCTCCCTCCCTCTTCCCTCCTCTTATATTTCCACCTCCATCCATCAATCCCATCCATCCATCCATCATCCCTTCTTTGCTCCTCCTCTCCTCTTCAGGTGTGCCCAGACATGTTCTCGTCACACAAACACGCCTCTTTCATTGCACAGCTCGACAATGCAAACTCCCAAGGTGGGACTCCCATTTTCCAGATTTTCTCTGCTTCCTCCCTTCCTTCCTCCTTCCTTCCTTCCTTCTTTCCTCCTTCCTCCTTCCTCCTTCCTTCCTTCCTTCCTTCCTTCCTCCTTTCCCTTCTTCCCCTCTCCTCTCCCTCCCTCCCTTCTATTTCCATCTCCATCCATCCATCCCTTCCTTCCTTCTTCTCTTCCTCTTCATGTTCATTTCTCGCCACACAAACACGCCTCTTTCATTGCACAGCTCGACAGTGCAAACTCCCAAGGTGGGACTCCCATTTTCCAGATTTTTCCTTCCTTCCTTCCTTCCTTCCTCTTTCCTTCCTTCCTTCCTTCCCTCCCTCCCTCCTCCCTCCCTCCCTCCCTCTTTCCATCTCCATCCCTTCCTTCCTTCCTCTCTTCCTCCTAATTTTCTTCCTTCCCCTCCCTGTCCTTCCTCCTTTCCCTTCTCCATCTCCTTCCTTCCTCCCTCCCTCTCCCTCCTATTTCCTATCTCCATCCATCCCTTCTTTCCTTCCTTCCTTTCTTCCTTCATTCTTCTCTTCCTCTTTTCTCCTTTCTTCCTCCCTCCCTCCCTGTCCTTCCTCCTTTCCCTTCTTCCCTTTCCCTCCCTCCCTCTCTTCTTTCTTTCCTTCTTTCTTTCTTTCTCTTTTTTAAAAATTCTTAGTAGGCTCTGCAATTTGACAGCTGACAGGTTTGTGTGGGTTTTCTTTTCTTTTTTTCTTTTTTTTAAAAAAAGATGTGTTATATGTGAAGTTTTGCCAGGGAAATAAAGCGAGTCACTAAAAATGGAAATTTTTTGTCACACCTCACACCCACGGCTCCTTGGTTTCCTCAGGAGTGTCTGTGCCGACTGTTCTGGGCACCTTCTGAAATTCATCTTTAAGCAGCTCTTCGTTGTCATTCTTGGTTTCTGTCATTTGGGGGGCATTTCTTCATTAGAAGAGCTGCTTCAGTTTTTCCTCAGGAAGAGTGATACAGGTAGTCCTCGACTTGTGACCAAAATCGAGCCCAAAATGCCTGTTGCTAAGTGAGACGGTTGTTAAGTGATTTGGGGGCCCGTTTTAGAACCTTTCTTGCCACCGTTGTTAAGTGAATCACTGGAGTCGTTAAATTAGTCACACGGTTATTAAACGAATCCAGCTTCCCCATTGATTTGGCTTATCAGAAAGTCGCAAAAGGGGGTCGTGTGACCCCAGGATGCTGAAACCGTCATAAGTATGAGTCAGTTGCTGAGCTGCTAAATTTTGATCACCTGACTGCTGTAACGGTCATAAGTGTGAAAAATTGTCCTAAGTCACTGTTTCTAGTCCCCATCTTTGGCATGAAAACCGGCTGGGTGACCTTGGGTCAAACACCAGGAGACGGTGAGTTCTAGCCCCGCTTTAGGTAGAAAAAGCTAGTTGAATAACCTTGGATCAATCACCAGGAGATAGTGAGTTCTAGTCCCACCTCAGGCGCGAAAGTCAATGGGTGACTTTGGGCCAATCCCACCCTCAACCCAACCCGCCTCACAACATTGTTGTGGGGAAAATAGGAGGAGGAAGATGTATTATATATGTTCACTACCTTGATTTACTTAGAAAGCAATAAAAGGCAGGATTTAAAAATCGAATAAAACAGTAAGATCCTAAACTCATTAAACTGAATCATGCCCAATCTCGTCGCCCGGTTCGTCCTTGCTTACCGCACCCTGCTAAACTACAATTGCCCTGTTCTTGATCTGCCATGGCCCCCTTGGGAATCTGCACTTTTCCCATCTATTTTCCTTTTTAGCACCATAAAAACCTCATCACGCAAATACATAAAGCATTCGCTAAGTGCTTTTCAGAGTTCTTGGCAAAGCCTTTCGCCCTCGTTTAGGAGGCTCGCGTCTTTTTCCAGATGAGATAGCAAAATAACACACTCCAAACGCACACTTTGTGTGAGGAAGAGCACAATTAAAGGTTGATAAGAGATCCGGGCAGTCTTGTTTTATTACTCGATGATGGACAGCTAAATGAAGAGGTAAGCTTGACATGAGTGCATGAGTGTTTTCTCAACCCTGGCAACTTTAAAAGAGGGGTGGACTTCAACTCCCAGAAACCCCCAGCCAGCCTGAATGTCAGCCACTGGAAGAGACGTGAACTTCAACTCCCAGAATTCCTCAGCCACCTCTTCCAGTGGTTGAGATTAAGGCTGGCTGGAGGATTCTGGGCGTTGGAGTCCACACTTCTTCTAGTTGCTGAGATTGAGGCTGGCTGGGGGATTCTGGGCGTTGGAGTCCACACTTCTAGTTGCTGAGATTGAGGCTGGCTGGGGGATTCTGGGCGTTGAGTCCACTTCTTGCTGAGATTGAGCTGGCTGGGGATTCTGGTTGAGTCCACACTTCTAGTTGCTGAATTGAGCTGGCTGGGGATTCTGGTGTTGGAGTCCACACTTCTAGTTGCTGAGATAGAGCCTAGCTGGGGGATTCTGGGCGTTGGAGTCCACACTTCTAGTTGCTGAGATTGAGGCTGGCTGGGGATTCTGGGCGTTGGAGTCCACACTTCTAGTTGCTGAGATTGAGGCTGGCTGGGGGATTCTGGGCGTTGGAGTCCACACTTCTAGTTGCTGAGATTGAGGCTGGCTGGGGGATTCTGGGCGTTGGAGTCCACACTTCTAGTTGCTGAGATTGAGGCTGGCTGGGGGATTCTGGGCGTTGGAGTCCACACTTCTAGTTGCTGAGATTGAGGCCAACCAGAGGTAGTATTTGCCAGTTCTCTGAACTACTCAAAATTTCCACTACCGATTCTCCAGAACCTGTCGGAACCTGCTGGATTTCACCCCTGAAAGAGGCACATTCCCGTTGCTGACGAGAATGTCCCAATCCTAAATCCTTCCGCAATACTTAATTATCATTGGAAAATTTGAATGAATTAGCCCGATGATCATCTTTATTTTTAATGACTGGGCAGGTGGAAAAACCATCCTGAAACCCAAATGTGATGACCAATCGATTCCTTAGTCATCGCAAAGAGCAGAATAAAGCGGAAAGTTAACCGCAGAATCGAGATGTGATGGAATTACGTTTCCTTCCCAGATGTTTTGCTTTTTGGGATAGTTTAAAAAATGACACCTGTTGCTCTCTACACCTGTTGACCAGTGCTGCAATGTGAGCGCCCCCAGGTCGGTCCTCTTTATGATTTTTATGAAAACCATTTTATTTTTTCCGTGAACTTCTGACAAGCAAAGTTTTGCGAGAGGCAAGCACTCGCAGTGATGAGCACCCGGTTTCAAACAGTGGGGTGGAGTCCTGGATTTGGGGACCCCTGTTTTACCCCATCCCTGCTAGACGATTTCGGCAAATCTGGTTCTCCAGCTTTTAGGGCCAGGATGGTTGGGGGAGCAGTCGAGAGTGACCTTTTAATTCCTGAAACGTTTTTCTGCCTCCGGGGAGCTCAACTGGTTTGACTGAATCGGGTGGCCTGCGGTCTTTCCTTGCATTGTCCACCCTGATCGTCCATCTCTCCAGGCAAAATTCTGCTGGAAATTTCCAGCAAGCGTTCTCCGCGAGGCTGTCAGGATTTCAATGTGGGCTACCAGTTTTGACTTTTCGCTTCCTTTCCTTCCAAAATAATAAGAGTTTAAACCTTACCTGGCAAGGCGTGACAGGTTGTCCTCGACTTACGACCCTAATGGAGCCCAGAATTCCCATCGTAAGTCGAGGCACCCATGTGACAACTTTTTTGTGGTCGTCGTTAAATGAATGTTGTGGCCATTAAGCGAATCAATGTATCCCTATGGGTGCTTTTGCTAGAAATTGGCTGAAAAGCAGTGGTGAAACACAATTTTTTTTTTTACTACTGGTTCTGTGGGCGTGGCTTGGTGGCGTGGCTGGTGGGTGTGGTGGGGAAGGATA